CCAGGATCTCACCTAGGTGTTCCCACTCTGAGTCTGAGATATACCCACCAGGCCAGACTTCGGCTCACGGCACCACATTGCTGGTTTATCTGTTCATAAACCCAGCTTTCCACATATCCATGCGGCCTGAAGAGAGAGTCCGGGGCCACCAATGCCCACACAGACAGCTGTCCGTAGGATGAGGGCACCTGTGTGTCTGCAATGACAGGCTTCATCTGCCCCAGGTGCTTCCCCTTCTGTTTATGAGCACGCCTCACCCTGAGAGAAGACAGCGCAGGAGCCCACCACCAGAAGCAGGACGTGGCAGCCCTCAGTTTTCTCCGTTTTGACACCTTCAGGCAGGTGCCACATTAACGATGGATTCTGAGGAAAACCTCCGAGGGGAAGCCCCCTCCACACAGATCATCCACCACTTTCCATAGGAGGGCTGCTGCATCTTCTCTGACCCACTCGGCTCGCTCACCCGGAGCCGTTCACCAGAAGTCCTCTCTCTGTGTGCCCAGCTGAAATAACTACTCCTGGTCTTGTTTCTAGAAAGAAACCAAGCTTGTCCTCTAGACCAGGAGGAGATGGTAGGGAAGAGGGTGCCCTAGAGCCAGGCTGTTCCGGTTCTAGATTAAATTCTGCTGCTGCCATTCACCACTGGGGCCCTAGGGAAGGTGCTTGAACTTTCTGAACATCAGTTTCCTAAACTGAAAAGTAGGATTAATAGCAAATAATAAGTGTTTGTGTTGTGCCAGTTATTGTTCTAAGCACTTTATCTCTCACTAGCTACTTTAATCCTCATGACAGCCTTTGAAGTAGGTACCGCTGTTATTATCCCCATTGTACAGGTGAGAAAACTAAGGCAGAGATAAGTCTAGTGACTTGCCCAAGGTCACACACAAAGCTAGGCAGCCTGGCTGCACAGTCAAGCTCTTACCCCTCCGTGTGGGTGCAATGTGTTCCTGCAAAGTGCTTGGCATAGCACAGAAGGCGAGCACAACTTCCCTCAGCAGTAGTGGTGTTTTTTTTCTGAAGAAAAGTTAGTGATTCCATGTGAGTTACATTCTATGGGAACCAGAGAACTCGTTTTCCTACTTCCATTCTCATCCACTAAAAGTATAAACGCTTTAGATGTAGCAGCGGCATTCATCGTTTCTAATCTCTTTATGTGGATTTAAGTTAAGGGGGAAGAGAAAATGAGTAGTAGCTGCCAGTATAATTTCAGAAATTATGAGACTGTTACAACCTGGCAGTTGTTACTAAAAATATAAAATTCTTCATGCACTTTCTTTATTTGATCTTTTATTTCATCTATGTACATATGCCCAAGGAGCTCTCCTTTCACACATCTAGCTATTGTTTACTACAAGTAATGCTATGCTTTCCTCTGTACAGGGAGATATCCTATATAATAAAGCTCTAATATGCAAATCCACCAACAGCAGAATGACCGGTTGCTATGATGCACACTGACCACCAGGGGGCAGATGCTCAATGCAAAACAGTGCTCCCACAGGGGGGTGCTGCTCAGCCAGAAGCCAGGCTCATGGCTGGTGAGCGCAGCGGCAGTGGCTGGAGCCTCTTCTGCCTCCGCAGCAGTGCTAAGGACCCCTTCGCGGATATCTGCCTGCCGGACACCCCCCGAAGGGTCCCGGACTGTGAAAGGGCTCAGGCCGGGCTGAGGGACCCCCCCAGTGCACCAGGCCTCTGGTTTTATCATAAGGCAGCTTTTATTGGGCATCTACTTTCTGCCATGCCTCATGCTTATGCTTCTCAAGCATCACCTGCTTAATCCGCCCCCACACAACACACCCCTGGCCCTGTGTGGAGAACACCGGGAGGTTAAGCAGCTTGCCCAGCATCTAAGGGAACTGGCAGAACTAGCTCTGGAAGGCTCCTCACCAGCACAGACAGTACCCTCTCTGTCCCTGTCCATGGCCCAGCCTCCATTTCTGCATGACTATGATAATACTAGAGGCCCGGTGCATGGAATTCGTGCACAGGTAGGGTCCCTAGGCCTGGCCAGTGATCAGGGTCGATCGGGGCCTTCCAGCTGCTGACTGGGGCCTCCCTTCCCCAGCTGCCGGCTGCCTACTGGGGATTTCCTTCATTCCACGCCGACCCCTGGTGGTCAGTGCACATCATAGCGAGTGATCAGTCTCCTGGTCAAACTCCCACAGGGAAAATTTGCATATTAGGCTTTTATATATATAGATATTACCTCAAGAAGGCTGAGAGCTCTGTCCAGGACAGCAGTGTGCTCCACATAATAACAGAGCTGACCCAGTTGGCTGCAGGGTGACGAACAGCCATTCAACCGTTCCCACAGCCTCAGCCTAGTTCCAGCCCACCCCCTCTCACCTGCACACTGTCACACTGTCACCCTCTCCTCGTTGGCTCCCTGCTTCTCTTGCCCCTCGCATCAACAGCACATTCGCCACCACGGCCACTGGGATCATCTTAAGTAGAAATATAACCTTGTCTCTCCCCTGCCTAAGGATTTTCCATCCTTATTTAGGATGAGTGTGTTACTGATACAATTTCCCAAGTTAAAATGTCACTGCTGTGAAGTGAATGGAGTTTGAGGCAAGAGTGAAAGAGGGGAGACCAGGGAGGAGCCTATTGCCATGGCCCAGGTGGAGGTGACATAGTCGGGGAGTAGCAGTGGAGGTAGAAATAGGTGGGATATACTTTGGAAGGAGAACTCCAAAGACTTGGTGATGCATTGCACGTCTTTATGTGATGTTTTTAAATCTCATCAGAAATCATTATAAAGGCTGCTCTGGTTTCCCAAGAACATGGCGTTCAAAACCAATTAAAATATTGCAAATACTTATTGACCACCTACCATACGCAGTTGACCTCTCAACTGTTCTGCAGTTAGAGACACCGAACCCCCGCACAGGCCCGTCACATCCGCAGATTCATCCAGGGTTGAAGTCCGCCAGAATCCGAGGGTGGGAAACCGTGGTTGGGAATCCAAAATTCTGTTTTTGATCCATGTTGACTGAATCTGCAAATGTGAAACCCTCAGATACGACAGGCAGACTGTATTTACTGAAAAAAATCTGTGTATTAGAGGACACACACAGTTCAAGGGGCAGGTCTGTCAGGAACTGCACTAGGAAATTGAAAAGGAGAGGTTTCTGTGCAAGAAACTTAGAAAGAACCAGGTTCCTTCCCTCCAGGAGCTCACAGTCCAGCGGGTGTGTGAGTATAAAAGCCAGTACTAGTACGTTACTGCTGCCAGCACAGGATTGACTTACGCGGCCCAGGGGGCGGTGACATCAATAAGGACGGAGACCAGGAAGATGTGAGTTCTAACCTCAGGAGCGGGGAGAAGGCTCTCAGGCAGCGTAACTGTGCAAAGTCACAGATGGAGGTGTGAAGCCACGCGGCCAGGAATTACAGACAATACGAGTCACCAGCTGAGCCTGGAGAGTTCACCGGGGCCAGAAAAGGAAGCGCCACCAGGCCGGTCAGGATGCTGCATGTTGTCTCCAGAGGGGAAGGCTTCCCCGGGGGTATTCACACCGCTAAGGGCACACAAGGTCGTTTACTATGCACAGACACGCATGTATTAGTTAAATAGGTCCTCATGCATTTTAATGTGTGCCGCATAACATATCACGGGTGTATCAAGGCTACAATGTAAAGTTTTCTTTCAAAGTAAATGTATTCATGTTAAACAAGTCAACTTAAACTTTCAGGTGAATCATAAGATAAATGGTGGGCAGATATGGGATAAATCATGATAGAACGTGAGCAGCCAGAGTTTGGGGCTCCCGTCATGTAAATGGGGAGACCCACTGGAGTTTCAGCGGGGGAGACGTGAGAGCACTGCAGACGGTGGCCCTGTCCCAGGACCAGGAGGAGGAAACCACTGTCCCCTGCACTGTCCCTGGGCGCGGACCTGTGGCCCGGGCTGACGTGGTGGAGGTGGGAGGGGAGGACTGAGCAGAGGAGGAACTTTGCAGCAGGTGAATCAGCTGCACTTGGCGACTGAGGAGCAAGGAGGAGGGAACAGAGGCGCCAGGGGACTCCCAGGTTCTGGCTTGAAGGTCTGAGTAGATTTGGGCCACCAGCCACTCCCAGGGCCCCTGAAACTTGTCAATCAGCATCAGTTGTAATTAGGTGCATTGTTCTCTCTGCTCCAAGCAGACATGCTGCCTGATTCTTGGTGAAGTGAGGGTTTGGAAGTTGCCCCGTTGGTTCTGACAGCAGGTGAAGCCAGTCCTGGGCTGGGGTGTTTGGAAGTGTTGGGGTTTGACCAGCTCTCTCCTCACCTGGCCTAGGAGAGTCTGAAAACCACCAGCCTCCCTTCCTGGATCAGCGCCAGTTCAACGTGTAACAATCCGCAGGCCGTTGGGGTAATTCCTGAGTGAACTAGCAACACTGGTCTTAATATCTCCCGATGGCTTTGACCTTGCCTCCGTGGTCCTTAAACCCTCCTTTTTATTTCATGTTTCTGTATAACGATGAGTTTCCACCAACAGAAGAGCATTTGGGGGAAAGGGAGGAGTCCAGGGAGGACTTTCTCTGTCGACTTGAAACTTCTTCCAACTTCTTCCCTGTAACGCATACACCTGCCTTTGGCAGAAAAAAAAAAAAGAAAAGAACCTGAGGGAAGGTTTTCCTGAATGCAACTTGGTAAGAGGTGAAAGAATTGGTAGTTGTGAGATTTAGCACGAATTTTTTTCGCTTTGCACCACACCTTTTAGGAGTTTCCCCGAGCGCGTGCACAAATTAAGTCACAATGTAACTTTCTCAGGGTGCCTCCTGGGGCCGACAGTCTGAGGATGGGAAGTGACTTGGCTGCTGTTTCTCACTCAGCTCGACTCTGCTTTCTCTTTCTGGACGGTGTGCATGTCTTTGGTTATGAGCACCAAGCCTCACGGTCAAGTGTGTTAGTGGTCCGTGAGGTCTGAAAGGTTGGCGACCGCTGGTTTAAGGACAACTTGAACAATGCACTCACACAAGCATTAATGCAACTGTGTCTTTTCCCTTTCCCTTAGGTATTTATGGGCCATCGGCAAGAATGTCTGGAAGAGATGGAAGAAAAGGTTCTTTGTGTTGGTGCAGGTAACTCTTCAACTCTAATATCCGCCTTCAGAGCCATCAGTTTTAACCCTGTGACAGGATTAACGGATGGTGTTTAATGGATGTAAATACCTGAAGCACACAAAGCTCAAGCAGCAGCTCAATGCAGTTGTGCCCTCACAGACCCATGTGACCACCAACCAGAGGCAGACGCACATTTCCAGAGCCCAGGGTTCCCTGTGCTCCTTTGCCTATTTCTATTATATCACTTTAAAAATTTAAAAATCAATGCATGCTCATTAGTTTCTACTCTGATAATACAGAATTATATAAGACTAGAGGCCCAGTGCACAAAAATTTGTGCACTCTCGGGGTGGGGGGGGAAGAGGGAGGCCCTCAGCCCGGCCTGTGCCCTCTCGCAGTCTGGGACCCCTCGGGAGATAACGACCTGCTGGCTTAGGCCTGCTCCCAGGTGGCAGAGGGCAGGCCCAATCCCTAGGTGCAGCCCCTGGTCGGGCTCAGAGCAGGGCTGATTGGGGAGTTGGGGTGCCGCCCCCTGTCATGCACAGAGCAGGGCGGATCAGGAGGTTGCGATGCCACCCTCAGTCACGCTCAGGGTATGGCTGATTGGGGGGTTGGGGCACTGCCCCCTGTCACACTCAAGGCAGGGTCGATGGGGAGGTTGTGGCGCCACCCCCTGTCACGCACAGAGCAGGGCCAATCAGGGGGTTGGGCGCTGCCCCCTGTCATGCACAGAGCAGGGCCGATCAGGGGGTTGAGGAGCTCCCCCCTGTCATGCACAGAGTAGGGCCAATTGTGGAGTTAGGGCACCGCCCTCTATCACCCACAGAGCAGGGCCGATCAGGGGGTTGGGGCACCGCCACTGTCACTCAGGGCAGGGCCGATGGGGAGGTTATGGCTCTACCCTGTCACACACACAGCAGGGTCTGTGAGTGGGGGAGGGGGGGTTGGGAGCGCCGCCCTCTGTCACCCACAGAGCAGGGCTGATCAGGGGGTTGGGGCGCAGCCTGTCACACACAGAGCCACAGGCCGATGGGGAGGTTATGGCTCTGCCCCCTGTCACGCTGATCCGGTGCCAGGAGGCCTCGCGGCTCCCGCTGATCCCGGTGCTGGGAGGCATATTACCCTTTTACTATATAGGATAGAGGCCTGGGGGCCAGCTGGTTTGCCCTGAAGGGTGTCCTGGATCAGGGTGGGGGTCCCCGCTGGGGTGCCTGGCCAGTCTGGGTGAGGGGATGATGGCTGTTTGCAGCTGGTCACACACCCTTCAAGGTGGGGTCCCCCACTGGGGTGCCTGGCCAGGCTGGCTGAGGGGCTGAGGGCTGCTTTCAGGCTGGTGGTTGTTGATTGAAGCTCCCAACCGCTCCTTTTTTTTTATTTTATTCTGGGCCAGCTTTAGCTCTGGCTCTAGCTCTGAGAGCAGGTATCTGGTTTGTTTCGGTTCTATAATCGAAACAATGTATAACTTCAGCTCTGAGATCCCGGCCTATATTTGTTAGAATGTTTCAAACTGCCAGCTCAGAGGCCGGCAAGTCAGGTGGGGAACGTTGGAGTCTGCAGTCACTGGAGCAAGCAAGCCTCATGTTCGCTTCCAGCTGCCTGGCTGCCGGCCGCCATCTTGGCTGACAGTTAATTTGCATATACTCACTGATTAGCCAATGGGAAGGGTAGCGGTCGTACGCAAATTACCATGTTTCTCTTTTATTAGTGTAGATAAGTAGGAGAGGTGAACTCCCACCCCGTCTGTGACGGGGGACCCCAGGGACGGAGCAAGCCTGTGCCTGTTTAGGGCAGTGGGACACCAACATTGTTTTAGAAGAATTTGCTGTTTCTAAAGACACTAAGATACTCCTGAGAAAATTCAGAATTTAGTTGGACTTTTTAACATCTATTTTTTTAATTTAATTAATTTATTTTTTTTAATTTTCTTTTATTGCTTAAAGTATTACAAAGAGCAGTATATATGTCTCCTTTTTCCCCCCTTGACCTTCCCCTGGCCTCCCCTATTCCCCAGTGTCTTGTGTCCATTGGTTATGCTTGTATGCATGCATACAAGTCCTTCGGTTGATCTCTTACCTCCTGCCCCAACCCTCCCCAGCCTTCTTGCTGTAGTTTGACAGTCTGTTTGATGCTGTTCTGCCTCTGTATCTATTTTTGTTCATCAGTTTATAATGTTCTTTATTATCCATAAGTGAGTGAGATCATGTGGTATTTTTCTTTCATTGACTGGCTTATTTCACTTAGCATAATGCTCTCCAGTTCCATCCATGCTGTTGCAAATGGTAAGAATTCCTTCCTTTTTACAGCAGCGTAGTATTCCATTGTGTAGATGTACCACAGTTTTCTAATGCATTCATCTGTTGATGGGCATTTAGGCTGTTTCCAAATCTTAGCTATGGTGAATTGTGCTGCTATGAACATAGGGGTGCAGATATTCTTTCTGATTGGTGTTTCTGTTTTCTTGGGATATATTCCTAGAAGTGGGATCACTGGGTCAAATGGGAGTTCCATTTTTAACTTTTTGAGGAAACTCCATACTGTTCTCCACAGTGGCTGCACCAGTCTGCATTCCCACCAGCAGTGCACAAGTGTTCCTTTTTCTCCACATCCTCTCCATCATTTGCCGTTTGTTGATTTGTTGATGGTAGCCATTCTGGCAGGTGTGAGATGGTACCTCATTGTTGTTTTGATTTGCATCTCTCAGATGATTAGTGACTTTGAGCATGTTTTCATATGTCTCTTGGCTTTCTGAATGTCCTCTTTCGAAAAGTGTCTATTTAGGTCCTTTGCCCATTTTTTGATTGGATTGTTTATCTTCCTTTTGTTAAGTTCTATGAGTTTCCTGTAAATGTTGGAGATTAAACCCTTATCGGAGATATCGTTGGCAAATATGTTCTCCCATGCAGTGGGCTTTCTTGTTGTTTTGTTGATGGTTTCTTTTGCTGTGCAGAAGCTTTTTATTTTGATGTAGTTCCATTTGTTTATTTTCTCTTTAGTTTCCATTGCCCTAGGAGCTGTATCGGTAAAGATATTGCTATGACAGATGTCTGCTATTTTGCTGCCTATGGCTTCTTCTAAGATTTTTATGGTTTCCCATCTTACATTTAAGTCCTTTATCCATTTTGAGTTTATTTTTGTGTATGGTGTATGTTGGTGGTCTAGTTTATTGTTAGTGTGTTTGATAGTTAACTACCTGTAGGGGAGCACTCCACTCTTCTTGATGCCTGGGCTTCCAGAAGCCTCAACCGACCCCTTATAACGATGTTTACAGTCTGGAATGTATATTTCCAGATAGACTTTCTTTAACCAAAAATAATCAAACTCTTCAAGTTGTTCTGCAAATTGCTTTAAAAAATCATTGTAGACATTTCCCTATGTTTGCACATATAGCTCTGGCTCTATTACCTGTAAATCTCCCCCTTTTTTTTCTTATGATGGGATATTTTAAGATTTACTCTCTCAGCAACTAGAATTTTTCTTTTTGATAGACTTCTGGGCTTCCCCAAATGGGACTATTATTAACCATGCAGCACAGAACATCAGTGTATACAGGTACAGATATGGATGCAGATATTGATACTAGTAATACATTAGTAATATTTAAATAGTATCTTTGCTCTCGAGTATTTCTTTAAGAAAAAAATAACCAAAAGTAGTAATACATGTCTTTGAAAATCCCTCCTTTTTTTGTTTGTTTGCTTTTTGCATCAGGATTTTTCCATTTACAGAGGAATTTGCCATTGCCTCTTTTTTAATTGCAAGCTCCACCAGAGCATGTAAACTATAATTCAATTTGTGAAAAGTTAATTTCTGCTGTACTCTAAATGACATCACAAAGTGTGCCACCTTAATTTAGTGACTAAGGTGTTTATCAGGTTACTGTGTTGGCCCTAAGCACTGACTGGTATTTAGATCACTCTCAGTTCTGAAACCTCACCATGAGGCAAACACCTCTTAGGCCTTGAAAGTTCCACCAACCCTGAGCTCCTAAGACTAGACCTCCTAGAGATCTACTCAAGTGCCTGCCACTGAGGCAAAATGCTTCTCTGGCTGTAAGCAAGAGGTGATCTTTGCTTTCATATTGCTACGGGGTACAGCAAAACCTTAAAGTAAATTAGCCAAATGAAAGGTTTGGAATGATGTCCAACCTCCAAAAGAATCCATGGCTAAGCAATAAAAGAGATTTTATTTTAAGATACATTTCCTCGGACTACCAATGGACCGATATCTATTGAGCACCTACTTTGTATAGGGCTCATTGGTAGCTCATAGAGAAGGACTCCGAGGCCCTGTCCCTCACTTCCAGAAGAACTCTATTAGCGTTCTTTATAGGCAAACAGCACAAACAGACTCAAGCTAACTAAGATTTTTTTTAAAGAATGTATTGGAAGGCACTGAGGTAATCCATGGGATTGCTGAAAAGGTTGAGTGACCAGTCCTTATTACAAACAGAACCAGTTCCAGAAATCTAGGTTGTGGGAACCACCGCTAGCGTCATGACAAAGTCAGCTCTGACCATTTTCTGTCCTCCAGTCTCCACTCAAAAGCCAAACCTGAGAGAGAGAATTGGGTTGGTCCAGCTTGGATCACGCACCCAACTTTTAGCAGGGGCAGGCGATGGCACTTTGATGATCAGGCCCACGGAGCTGTCTCCAGTGCAGAATCAGGATGCCAGTGCCAGGAGAAATGGATGCTGGGCAGGCAAGAAGAGCTGATGCCCAGTCTGAGGAGAGCACAATGTAGATGGAGAGACACACTACATCCAGAGAAGCAGTGCTAAGTTATGGGTGGTTCTCTCCTCAGTGCACTCACATGGCCCAGCAGCCTCTCTGACTTCCCTGGGCCTCTGCCTGGCCTCCCCCGGTACACTGTGTGCTGTTTCAAGGCCAGTTCTGTTTCTGATTCACCTTGTGATCCTTCCTCTTTCCCCCACCACACACATACACTTCCTCCAGCGCAGTGTGTGGCACGGCCATTCGGGGAAATAGTGGGAGGAGGAGGGGAAAGGAGGAGAGGAGAAG